TACTACTAGGAGCAAGGACGCTACTAGGGGCTCCTGGCCGTACTACTAGGAGCAAGGACGCTACTAGGGGCTCCTGGCCGTACTACTAGGAGCAAGGACGCTACTAGGGGCTCACTAGGGGCTCCTGGCCGTACTACTAGGAGCAAGAAGCTACTAGGAACAAAGGGCATCGCTACTAGGAGCAAGGACGCTACTGAAGCCGGTGATGACGGTTGCTTCGCTCCACTGGAGCAAGCCTCACCGGGCCTGACCCGTTGGGACCGCGTAGGCTGTGTGGGCAGTCGCATTAGATCTTGGATGGCAGCTCCGTGGCATTTGAGCTGGGTGGACTCGTGTTCAAAGTGTCGGCGTGTGGCCATGAGCTGAGGGGACTTGTTCTCCTTTTTTAAAGACTTTAAGACACGTACTTTAAGGAACCTAATTGCGATGGCCTCCAACATACTCTAGATCGAAGGCCTGCAAGATCTTAAAACCCTTCACGGGAAGCATCTGCCTGGTGACAGAAGTGTTTTTCACCGCTGAGGTGATTCTGCAGATTAGATTCTGAGCCTCAAGCAGCACATCAGCGGCGCTTCTGCAGAGCAGAATGCGCCCAAGAGCTTTGAAGCTGTTGTCCAGGCTGGCGTCAGGCGTACGGGATCTATTTTGGAACCCTGCTGAATTGCAAAGGCCGGGTTATATGTGTTGCATAAAACAAACCTCAAAAAAAAAAAACACAATTGTTCGATGTAGAAGGATTGAATTTTGTAGTTTTGTAAGATCATAAACAACAGGGACCTCTATGTAATTGTACCTGTCTAGTGGGCTTGGGCCAGCACTAGTTTGTAAGTCCACATTGAATACCGAGTATCTCATCCGCGCTGCCTCACAGCAGTACCCCAAAAGACATCTCAAATGGCAGGTTCCATTTGTTTTTATTGAAGATAATTTCTTGTTTGCGTGTTGTCCTGCAATCACTGAAGGACACATCCAAAGGCCTGACAAGTCGATTGGACACATTTTCTTGGTGCCCACAAGTCGATTTCTGGCATCATCGACAACAGCTTAGACAAAGAGATCAGCTTAAATACTTTGGGAACAAGCCAGACTTCGAAGTGGACAGTGGCAGCTAAGGCCAACACTCGCAAATGAGAAAGATGACCATTGCCCAGTGTTCTATGCGTTTCATGCGATGCGTTTCCGGCGTTCCGAAGATTTGCTGCGTTGGCCTTGCTGTTTTCCCCGCTCCCACCCGTGCGGCCTGAGCTCGGACAGAGGGCCGAGCCTTGTGCAGGGCCAGTCCACTTGGTCCACTTCATGGCAGTTCATTCGATCTCTCTTCTTTTCGTATTTTTCTGCTTTCCTTCCTTCTTTTTTTCTTTTATCTATTTTTTTGTAAGAACCTCTGAGCCTTGGGAATATGATGTTCTTCATGTTTTTCCTTTACTTCTCTGATAATTACTTTGCCTTGTCTTTTCTTCCTTTACAGGGATAAACCGGGCAATAGAACCGGGCACACTAAAGGTTTGAACAGTTCAAGCACCGGACAGGTGATGGATATCCTACGACTGCCTTATAGTTGCACCTTATTGTAAAAGCCCTAAGTGGTTCTTTCTTTGACCTTTCCCTTTTTGCTTGTCATGTCCCTTTTCTTTTTTTTTCCTGTTTCTCCTTCCTTCACAAAGCGTTCTTGCACAATTCCTACAGTCAATGACTGGCCCTCCGCCGGGGCCGATCTCCTCAGAGAGGATCTGGAGCCGAGAGAACGTCAACCCGACGTGAAGACGAGCGCCCGGACGCGACACGCCGTTCCGGGCTGTCTGGCGCTTTGCCAAGATCTAGTCTTGGCCCAAACAGCCTGGGAGGATCCAAACAAGGTTCCAAATTGTTGCAAGAAATGGTTCAGTTCCTTGCTAGTAGGTTGGAGGCCATCGCTAGTAGGTTGGAGGCGAGTGTTCTTGTTCAAGCAGCGTTCTTGTCAAAAAGAAAGAAGGAGAAAAGAAAGGTCAAAGGTCTGGAGGTCAAGCCATCAAAGAATTACTCAAAGTACAAGCACAGACAAAACGAAAGACGCTTGAGCATTGCCTGGAAGTGAAGATTTGTTCGCCACCGTGATCATTTCGTCGCCAGACTCTGGAACCGACCCAAGCTGTCTTAAGCATCCGAGACTTCATCCGCGACACGTCGCCGGTATAGCTTTGCACGCCCCTCTCTCACATGAGAAATAGCAGTGTAGCAACAATGACATGAGAATGATTCACAGCTGCTAGTTCTAGTTCTGGGGATGCACTGCAACCCAAAGAAGTATGCTCCCAAGAAAAGCATGGTCCTGGCTGAACACGAGCAAGACGTGCAGTGCCGTAGGAGGCATTGGTTAGGCCATGAAACCAGAGCCATTTCAATGTGCACACAGTCTTCAGGAGCATCTTTTAAGAACATCCTTGAGCCAGACCACTTGAACAGTCATTGTCATGATGTATGAACGCACGAGCCAGAAATAACACAACATTGTTTAACGACTTTCTCTACATCTTTTTGTCGAGGATCCCCTTCTCAAAAGTAACTGCTTCTTGAACCGCGACAGCGAACAGCGAACTAGTCGTGAACAGCTCAACTGTCGTCGACTTGTCGACTCCTTCGCGTTCAGAGGGGGATTTTCCGTCCGATGCCCGGAGCGGAGGCGTCCGATGAGATTTCCATGGCGAAGGGATTTCAAAGTCCCACATGAAAGCTTGAAAGCCCACTTTATTCCCTTCCAGCGATGTAAAAATCCAATTTTCACTTTTCCACAAATCCGAAAATGAAGAAAGTGACATCTCAAATCAGCTATTCTTCCATGAGGCTCGAGGAAATCCACCTTGGAAAAGCACCAGCTTTTGACCTTTTCCATCTCTTGGTGCAGATCTGAAAGGCATCGCTACCAGGAACAAGTGCATCGCTACTAGGAACAAGTGCCTTACTAGTAGTAACAAGAAGCTAGTAGAAACAATATATAAATTAGTTACTAGAAGCTTCTTGTTACTACTAGTAAGGCACTTGTTGCTAGTAGCGATGCACTTTGTTTCTAGTAGCTTCTCCATCTCTTGGTGCAGATCTGAAATGGTCACCTCGACCACCTCGACCACCTGACGCCTGGGATCTCTCGGCCATCTCTCTGCGTTCCGGGCATCTTTTGGTCGCCTGGCATCGTCCAGGTCTTCAACAACTGAAGATCGAGTGAGCGAGTCCAGGAAATCGAAGCACTAGGAGCAAAGGGCATCGCTACTAGGAGCAAGGGCGCTACTAGGGGCTCCTGGCCGTACTACTAGGAGCATTTTTACTACTAGGAACAAGAAGCTACTAGTAACAGTTCTTCAAGTGGACATCTTGGATCCAAGGACTGAACCTACATCGAAACCATATGTTCTTGCACAAGACCACAGTGATGGAAGTTCATCACACCTAGAACCTAGATGATTTTTCTGGGTACCATGCGGTGCTTGTATAAGATCTTGTAAGCACTCCACCCGCCAAAGGAAAGCAAGGTCCACTCGTCTTTTGGTGGTTCCACATGGTTCCAATCGTCAACATCCTCCTTTTGAAAGGGTCTTGACCCAAAGAGGGTGATTCTTTCTCTAAATACCGGTCCTGGCTTCGCCTCGGTTTGTTTGGTGGACTCTACTTGACTTTGTGGAAAGGAGGGTGAAGGACCAACCTAAGAGCTCCAACCTAATGGAAAGGAGGGTGAAGGAATGCTCAAATTCTGAGTTGCCATTTCCTGGGCTTTGCTCAGAACAGACGAAGCACTCATGCTGGACGTCTTTCAATGGAGACAAAAGATGAGTCGAGTGGAGCATATGAGATTCATGGACCATGGATATTAACCCGCTAACAGCTCACTTCGAGGTTCGATGACAGAATGGCGAATGTTTTTTCTTATGTGTTTGGTGAGTTCAGTGTAGTCCACCTGGATGTGTCTGGTGTCTCACAGGCGGCGGCAATCATGGAGCACATCCAGCGCTCCATCCGCGACGTCTTGGATTCGCA